AGTAGCTACTTGACCTATACTAGTTGGACTCATAGGTAAGTATATCTATGTATGTAGTTTCCATAAAATGCATGACGTAAATGCACATCATATATATATTAGGTTATCATTAAAAAATAGGGTTATGCACTGGGGCTTGCCTTGGGCAAAGTGAGTGTCAACAAAATCAGCAACAAACGGCTCTGGGGCTCCCTCATGTACGAGAATCTCTTCCTCGTACTCTTCAATGATCTCCTCGAACTCCCGTCCGTCATGAGAACGAACTCTACCAATTCGATTATCTACATGCATGAAATGATGATGCAACACTTAGTAATATGACAATAGCAACTCTTAAATACGAACACACCTATCAAGCTACTAAGCTAGTTCTATTGACTAAGATGCTACGTTACCTATCATTCCCACTAATGTGTATCAAATATGGCATGTATTATCTAGCAACTAAAGGCATTCTTACTCTTAACACTGATTTACTCTATATACTATAAAACAAGGAGTACTAGGCACCCTATTTATCAACCTACTCTAGGGCTACAAAAATTACAGTGAGCACATAATAATCTAATGAACCTACTGTAAAAATTTCATGGCTAAAGCTATCACCGATTTGCCACAAAAATTCTTACAAATATTAAGCTAAATAATACTAAGTTTTCTAAATTGAATTTATGAATCTATCATTATCACAGCTAACTGTAAACTATCTGCACCAATAGACAGATAGCATTTTTGTGAACCTAATAAATTTTATTTCACTATTTTTGGATACCTACAGATTTTACTATAATTTTTCAAAGATCAGCTCAAAACTAAATTGAATAAACATTTATTAATTCACTAAAAAAAGGAAAACTAAATCCACCGCGCGGCCCACTCCCATGCATCGCGCGCGCGCACGCGACCCACCAACGTGGCCCACGTGGACGCGGCCCAGCCGCGCGACGACCTCCCACGACGGGGGGGCTCGTGTGCGCCAGTCATCTTGCGAAAACACCCTCGGCCTACCCGGTAATAGCGTGAGCACTAAGCGCACAATTCCTTCAGTCTGCCATTATGCAAAACAGCCCCTACAACAACCTGTCTTCACATCGGGGAGGTCCTTGACCTGGCTGCGCATGTCGACGCGGCAGCCAGTGGCACCGACGGCCCCCGCCGGGCACCCGGGACCCTCCCCGCCCTATCTAAGGAGCCGGTACCTGCCTAGGGGCGAACGCGAGACGCTGGGCAAAGAAAACGTGAGCCGAGACGTCGCAGTAAAGCCGGACCATGGTGGCGGAGCTCCTGTAGCAAAATGGTGACGTTCCGGTGAGTTACAACCACGCCGTAGTAAATAGGGTAGCGAGTGAGCTCTAGCCACCCACCACGGACCCAGTCGAGGTGGTAGTTCGATCGGAGGCGGCCCGAGCCAAGCTGGTCGCGTGTGCACGAACGGTGCGGTGGTGCACCGCGGTAGCAAGACTGCGTCAGGGGCATCTAGAGGGTGATAGCAACTTGGCAAGGGTGTGCTGAGTGATGGGTCGGTGGAGGCGAAGCTGGCGGTGCAACGAAACAAACGCGAGCAGCTCTGGAGTGGGGGCCTTGCTGTCGACGCATGCCAAGACGGTCTTAATGACCCAGCGGGAAGAAAGCTGCAAATTGGAGCATGGCACAGCAAGGCTCACAACACGATGGGGTCAGGTGGCTGGCTGACTACACCGCGAAGCCGTGGACAGGGTTAATTGAACCGAGGCGACTCCACCAAGACGAATTGAAGGCGCGGGTCCGGCGACCATGGCGATAGAGGAAACAGGGGACGGGCCGGCATGGCTTGGCTCGACATTGCTGTGGCAGGACGGGGTTGTCCACTCAGAGTTCAAGAGCGCACATGCTACAGGCCGTTAGGGAATCCACCAAACGCGCTTAGGATAGTTGGCCGCATTACCATAATTAGCAAGTCGACGGTGGCTCGACCCTGTGCGCCACAGTGGCTAGCGTCGGTCTGGGGAGAGGCAGCAGCGCAGCGTCGCATCTAGCGCGGATGTGATTGCCAAGGCAGGCGGGGCAATCCCACGCACGGCAAGGCAACGGTGCGGGCAGGGCCATGTGCCGGCCGCAGCAGGCCAAGTGTGGCCACACGCGCACGGTCCCATGCAGGCGAGCACGAGGCGGCAGAGCGGCCAGGTGGATGCGACGGCGGTGGTGGCAGAGCGGCCAGGCCCGCCGGGCGCGGCGTGCGCGTGCATGCGTCACGTGCCAGGGCGTGGCAACGACGGTGCAGGTGTGCGCGCTTGGGCAAGCCAGTACTGCAGCGCCGAGCCGGACAGAGGCATGGTGACCGTGTCCAGACGCTGAAGCCGGCCGGAAACATGCCTTGCACGCTTTTTAAAGCATCCCAATAATCCAACTCAATGCTTCAATTGCTAAACCACCTATCCCATACTCAAGAAGGCATGTTAGGCTACTAAAATATACCCTAATACCCCATCACTCCTTAACCCGATTCTCCTACAAAAATTCCCAAACTTGGCCTTGTCAAACCGTTTCCCGACTTAGTAAATTTGACTAAGCCTCGATCGGATTCGCGTCGAATTCGATTTCCAAGCTATTCGATATGCTAGCTAGTAAATTCCTTTCGCGACCTAATGTATTTCATTGTCACCTACGAAGCTTATACTACAAACTTTATTAAAGTGTCGTATATGCATTCTATAGTGTTTTCGTTCAATAAAAATTCGTTTAAAACCCTAAGTGATATAACGCGACAAGGAATGTAACTTTTGTTTCGCGTTTCCAATGATCGTTTCAAGTTACGTACATTGTTTTACACCCTATATTACATACATTCACACATAAATATGATGCTCATGCAGTGTTTTAGCAAAAGACTTTACAGTGTAACACCGAGGGTGTTACAAACAAACCTACAACCTACAGCCTCACGCATATCTCCCATAACCATTCCACCTACCCATAAGTCACTTGTGTCCGTATGAGATGTTCATTCTTCTCGTATTCGTTGTCCGATTTTGAAATGACTATATGAGACCCTACACGAATGCAAATGAAAAAGTTTTCAACTACAAAGTTGTAGATATCACCGAGATTTACAACTTTGGTTATGATCGTTTCTCCATCCGAGGTCGTTTGAAAATTTTGAATTTCAAATGTGAGAAATTTAAATGCAATTTTCCCTAGTTAGATGATTTCAAACGATAAAAGTTATTAACTACAAAGTTGTACAACTCTTCGAGATCTAAACTTTTTTTGAACTAATTTGAGATCTAAACTTTGGTTTTGGTCATTTTTTCATATGAGGTCATTTTAAAAATTCAAATCTTATAGTGTTGCACCTATTTTTAGAGACGACTCTATATCCAGCCACCTCTACAAATTGATTTTTAGAGGGAGCTCTAAATCCACCCACCTCTAGAAGTCCATTTATAGAGGTGGTTGCATCTAGAGCCGCCTCTAAAAATAGAGCATGTTTAGATGTGGCTAAAAGATTTGTAGAGGCGGCTCGTTTGGGAAATCATTTTTAGAGGCGGCTCCTGGCTAATTGGCTGCCTCTGCATGCTACAAATTATATTTGTATAGTGTGATACTTACTAAGAAAAACGCAATGTTGATTGAGCCTCAAGTTTTTTTTTACATAACACTGCTACTAGTTTAGCAATTGCTTTCTTCACACAAAAAAAATGCTTGGCACCACTATCACAAAGAGTACCAAAGCTGGTAACCCATCCCTAGCTTGCATCTGTCCATGGCGCAGGAATCAGGATTAGACAGGCCAAATAAGAAAACTGATGATATACATATACTGCACGTGGTCGAAATCGAGGTCAAGCCACTTGCAGTAATGATATGGATGTACTAACACATTATCGAAGCTAATTGTAGACGACTATATATATAATAGTCACAGGAGAAGAAAAAAATGGTAGTACTATCTTGCATTGCATTGCATTGCATTGCTACCCAACGTGCGTGTATGCAGTTGGAGCTATACTGAGCCAGTTGCGTACTTGATTGAATGGATCCTAGTAGTCCGTCCTATCGATGCATGCATGAGCACGGCGGTCCGGTGTGCTGCGAAAACGATACATACATACATTTATATTTCCATTCCAAAGCAGCATCTAATCTAATGTTAGTACTCCATCCGCTACTGCTGCATAGACAAACGAGTCCCTGTGTTTCGTCAATGTGCACGTTGTGCATTATTGAAAAGAAAGCGAGGCCTGCTACGAAAAAATGATCCATCCATCTAATAAATGGCCATGTTGATTTTCGACACAAGCATATGTTTTTCTCTTTTTGATGCGACGCGCGATGCCTACAAAAACGCGTGCGTCTGCTAGCTAATAACGTATGGACTCGCGTCACTCATCCATCTCTACTGAATAAATAAAAGTATAAATAAACTTGTAGCAACCATCTCGAACGAACGACTCAACAACTGTACCTTCCTTTTTTTCATTGTTATAAGATGTAACCAGTTACCCAACGAAGTCATCATTTCTGCAAAAAAAGAAAAAGGAAAAGGAAAAAGGAAAATAGATAATATTTACCTTGTGTAGTCCTATCCGAGATGGTTGCGATTGTTGGCCGGCGCCGAGCCAAATTACGCTTCCTGTGTTGTAAGGCTGCTCTCCATCTCCAACGCCACGGCCACATGGACATGGTGGTGGGTCTGTGAGACCATAGCACTTTCCACACATTTTTTCTGTATTTGTCAACATTATCTCCCAATGTCCATGCCATGCATGAGGAGAACCAGGCCATTAGCAACTCATCACAACTACTGCCAAGCAATGGGCAAAGCAAGCACAAGACGAGACCACCAACAGCAACCACCATACGCATGGGGATCAAAATCAAAGAGGGTTTATTGTTCAGAGTCGACGGGGTGATTCCTGTCCTAGGGCATACATACACCGATCCATACATTCCCACCGGCTGCTACAACCACACGCATACATGGAACCGGCCGGGAATCATCACATGTACAGAGCAAGGATCTAACGCCCGCAATTCTCTCGCAGAGTTGATAGGGCGATAAGGGCACTGGCTGCCCCAGTAACATGGCTGCTAGCATCAAGGCCTGGAACAGATGATTTACCCTGCGAGCCAGTTACCGCAGCCTGTTCTCTCTTCGGCTCCCCAGTTCCTGCAGCCACCACACACCAGGCATTATTAGCGTTAGTCAAAGCAACGAAATGAAGCACTAAAGCTAGTCAGTTTCACATTCCAGAGTAAAGAGTTTTCAGGCACCGCACTTGGTTTAGGAGCATCATAGGCCTTTGTAGCGACACTCTGGCCTTGAGAGAGACTGCTTTCTGGCATCGTACCAACTATCGCAGATTCATGGCGCTTTGGAGTTTTATTACTTGATGCTGGACCATCATGGCCATTTGGTGTGATACTCAGTGCTAGAGAATCACAGCCCTTGATGCTCGTATCAGCTATCACAGGTTCATGCAACTTTGGTGCTTTACTTGGTGCTAGACTTGGCTTGACACTCGGCGCCAGAGAATCATGGACCTCGATCTTCATGGATGGTGATTTTCCATGGCCTGCACATAAATGACAACCTTAATGATCCATACATACATGGTAGGCAGCAATCATATTGCACAGAGGCTTACCTGGTGCAAGAACTGGAGGTATGGCAACCAGTGTCAAACTGGTCTGGCATTTTACTAAATCACGAGGTGCTGGGCTTCGTGACGCAATACCAAGTGAAAGGAATTTCTGGCCTTCAGGTGTCATTCTCGGTGCAGAATTGAGTTGTTTCACACCTGTACTTTTGGAATTTCCAAGTGACAAGCTTGGTACAGCAGATTCATAGCCCTTAGGAGTGACGCCTGGAGCAGAAACTCCATGGGTTTGGGAGGTATTAACTTGTGCTAGAGAAGCATAACCAGGACATCCTGTGGTCGGTGTGCCGGATTTGCAAACTTCCCGACCAGGAGATGAAGAGCTTCCAGAAATTGTCCTCAAAAGGCCTTCATGAACTATAGGTGCCACTCTTCCTACAAAGGAATCTTGGTTTTTGGCACACGAGGTTGCAGAGTTTCCAGGTGGCACCATCTGTACAGGAGGATCTCTGCACTTGGGTTCTGCACTTGTAGAAGCCCCACACATGGCAGCAGCAGAACTAGATGTTTCTGGCACACCACTTGGTGCCAGACAATCTTGACCTTTGGGCACCATATCCGCTGCAAGGGTATCACATCCTTTGGTGCTAAGAACTGTGGCACGTTCAGACACAGCACTTGGTGTATGTGAATCAGCATGGTTAACCCTCAGAGTTAATAAATAATCTCCACCAGCCTTATCCAAGGATAATTGTTCTGGTGCTGCCATTACAGAATCATTAGACACTGCTTCAACGGAAGGCTTGTACCACAATGATGGCTGCAAAAAGAAGCCAATAAGAAAGTGACGCTAGATGCCAGTAAGAAAAAAGGTAGTGCACATTACTTATTTGGAACACTTAAGATCATCCTGAGAAGAGTAAAGAAAATATTATACGACGGCTGGACAAACAGGTTATTTCAAACCATTACAAACTGGTCACTCATCAAGTCTAAGCAAGTGGAGCAAGGAAGGATAAGGAAGGTTTTGACTAGACCGATAAACCATTGGTTGAACACCCCTAATTGTAACAATTTTTCTTTGCACATAACCACTAGTGCTCAAGTGGCATGAAGTTGTTTGATAATTTCCTATCAATCTCACTTACCATGAACCATCAAACAATTCAACTATTAGAAATGTTAAAAGTAGATTAAGCACATAACAGCCTTGTTATGACTCATTTGTATGGTAACAGTTGCATATCCATACTATTCATGAGACACAAATCAATTGCTTTTGCTTCAAAAAAGTAGGTTTGGGTTTGAAAACTGAAAAGAAGCCTTCCGTTATGCAGCCAGGCTCATGCAATCAGCATTTAGTAAAACAACCTTTAACAGGTTATTACGGTGAAATTGGGAAACAAAATGTGTTACGAAGTCCTTCCTATACAAGCTTGAACTTGCATAACACAAGCCTTGAAAGGTTCCTCAGGTTTGACATGAAACAAGAAAATGCATGCAACTATGAACTTACACAGTAATGAAGCTTCTTCAAGGCCTCCAAAAGTACTTTCTCTCCAACTATTATTATCATTTTCTTCACCATTTCTTCGCGAGTTATTATGCTTTCCTGTCAGGTGGAAAGATTGAAACGGTGCTGAGCACACACCACACAAACCACAATAAATACCTACCTTATAACTTAACTTTTCAAGCTGATAGTACCTTCAGCTCCTCATAATGATGGAAGAGAAGCTCCCTTGCCACTGATGATATATTGTCTTGAATAACTGCAAACAGAACTCTGAATGATATCCATGGGGAAGTTGGTCCTTCACCTGTTTCACACATTACCTGCAAACAGATTGTTTGGTTGGATAAATGGAATACTACCATACAACAAAGCTAAAATCATTTGCCGTTGCAAGATGCACAGAGGAGGGATCATTGAACAGCAGAGCTGATATGAGAGCACGTTTCTGTTGTCCCATGGTAATCAATATTCAATAGACATGCATCTAACAGGAAAACCGATGGTGAACAAATAACAAGATTCAGGTTGCCTCACAGGTTGAAGTGTAGAAATATCCATTCCAACTTCCTTTAGTGATGGGTTAAACCATAAACCCTTCAAGTCAAGCAAATAATCTGAAAATAAGGGCACCACATAGAATGTTAAGACTAACTTTCTCAATATGACATGATAAAGGTCTTATTAATCATCTTACTTCGAACTTTTGGGACAAGCTTGAAACTAACAAGATATTCTAAACGGATGTGAGTGCTCAGATGTGATGGCCACATCACATAACACTTTGGGTTTGAACAATCATCAACACCAGAATCATATATCTCACTGCTTGGAAAAGACTCTTGTGGTCCAGGTTCAACAGCTTCCACATTGCCCAATATCACACGGCACAGCAACATATACTGCACTCCTTTTTCGTCAACATCGCAAAGACCGACACTGAAACAATTAACATGTGGCGTAAACATAATATTATATTAAGCAAATACAAAAACAGTAATCACAAAAACAGGGTTAAGGAGAACACACCTGGTAAAGGCTCGGTTTTCTGGTGAAAGATATACACCAGCACTCAAACCTGCTTTCTCAACAGGATTTGCAGTGGTACCCAAACCATTAATAAGAATCCTAACTATGTCACTCTTCCTAGATCCTAGCCATCCATACTTAACATTTGCATCACCACGTGCTTCTTTAGTTGACTTCATCTGTCTTTCAAAAGCTTCAAATCTACATTGTGCGGTGATATCGTTTGGAGAGTAGCGGTGGACATGAAGTATGTTATTCGGTGTTGCAAACGGACTCATACCAGAGAGAAAAAGGTTCTGGACAAACAGAAAACTTTCGCTGCCTCTTTCGACAGATGTGATCTTCTTGCGCAAGACATCCACAGTCAAAGGTTTTTGAGGGACTGGGGGATTAGATTCAAGAACTACTTGCTTGACCACTTCAGGTGGAGAATTCGCGACCTTATCTAACATTATTCCCTGTGCAGTGCTATCAACATTGCCAGAATCCTGTTTGGCCATTTCATCACTTTCCTCATCAAAGAACAAAGAAGGAAAGAAACGCTTGCCAGTGTCATCAAACCAGGCAACAGACCGCTGTTTTCTGGTTTTTAGGTTGACCAGGGTCATTGACAAGAAATCAACAAGAATTGGTTCATCACCCACCACAGACACAACACTTGATTTATTTCCTTTGAATTCATCGATGAGGGACTTCATTATTTGCTCTGGAAAATTGTGCCACGAACCCTTTTTGTAATACATGACACGGCATGGCGCTCCACTCTTCAGAAAATTGACACAATCATTGGCAAGGTTAGGTCGAGTGCAGCAACAGTTGCAGTGTATAGCAAATGATGAATCGAATGAGGGCCCATTCTCAGATTTGACACGGCGAGATTTGCAGTCTTTTGACAGGCAGTCATCAACAAGCTTCCGCTTCAAGCACAGGGAATTGGATTCTTGCAGAGATGCCATGAGAAGTCTTGCTTTTAACACCAAACAAATATGGAAACAAGAAAACTAAGCCCTAATATATATACAAGTTACAGGTCTCCCTTCATATCGACATCTCAGAGGTCCTGTATAAGATAATGAATGAATTTATCTCAAGCAGAAAACACAGTTCAATATTCTAGAAGTTCGCGAAATAATAAATGGAACATTAGTAACAGTGACGCTAGCATTCATAAAACAAAAACTAAGTGGACAAGGAAGATCAATTGCATATAGCAAGCATCAATCATGCAAATAAAGAGTCTAATTGAGTTGTTTTTTAAACAATGAATATCACAATCTATGAGCATCAGGCAGTGTGCCTAGGATTGTTTTCTCCTAAAAAGGATCCTAAGCAGGTATATCAGCTCCACAATTAGTTGTTGAAGCTTGACCTAGAAACAAGTTGACAGCAGGAGCACAAACTTTGCATGAGCAGGGTCTGGATTACCACTCGATGGTAACAGTGTCAAATATTTATGCATTACCATTTTCCAACCTTTAGAATTTAAAAAACAACACCACAACTGATTGAAGTAATAAGGATATCGAATTTCAATTCCCATTGACACAAAAGCATCATCTTGAGATGAAATTGAAGATGATAGACTAACTTAAACTTCTCACCCGCTAGAAACATGAAGGTTTGGTGCTGTTTACTTACACTCATGTCCCCACAGTGTGCCAGTCTAACCTGCCTCCCACTTGATGCTTGCAAGATTACATCCTGCAACTGCAAGGTACAAAACTGCAAGGCTGGTATTGATGGCTAGATAGTGCTTGCAGTCTGCAAATCAATAAGGCTCGGCAAACAACTCATAGTAGCCCAATGGCTCAATAAATCCTACTCCCATGTGGCTAAGGTGAGTGGGGCGGTTGCCTAAGATGGCCCAACACTGCCTCCACACCTGAGGAAAGGGGTACCATAAGTATTTTGTAGGATGGATCTGAATCTGAAGGAGTAATGGCTCAAAAATGGGCAGCAAGGACCAAAACCGGGGGGGGGTCCTATGAGATTAACTCGCCTTTAGACATATTTGGATTATTATACACACACGACATGTGGTAGAATGAATCGACCATCTCATCTATTTGCCATTTGTCGTGTTTTGAAGAAAGTATATCAAGGGCCCAAAAGGTGATGAGGTCCCGTATGATTTATTTCTTGATACCAAATACTATTTAGCAATCAGTGCGCTATTTGATAATTGACCCATTTTTCTGGCATTCAAGAGTGCAAAAGCACAACGTAGTAGTAAAATGCTCTTAGTGCTAAGAATTAGTGTCAACTTGATATAGCTTTTACCAACTAGGATCCGTTTAGGTAGTTGAAATGTAGGGTCGCTTACAGGTAAGTTAAGAGAATTAGTCGATACCGCGACTAGAAGGCGTGTAAATATATTATGCGTTCAAGAGACTAAATGGAAGGGTAAGATGGCGAAGGAGGTGGACAATACAGGTTTCAAGCTTTGGTACACAAGGACAGTCACGAATAGAAATGGAGTAGGAGTTTTGATTGATAAGAGCATCAAGAATGGTGTGGTGGAAGTGAGAAGGCAAGGGGATAGGATTATCTTAGTCAAGCTTGTCGTTGGTGATATGGTCTTGAACGTAATTAGTGAGTATGCCCCCCCAAGTAGGCCACGACGAGAGTTCTAAGAGACAGTTCTGGAAAAACTTAGATGGCCTGATTAGAGCTGTACCTAGTAGTGAGAAGCTTTTTATAGGAGGAGATCTTAATGGGCATGTAGGTACAAGCACAGGTTTCGAGGCAGTTCATGAAGGTTTTGAGTATGGTAGTAGGAATCAAAAGGGGAGGGGGAAGTTCTGGACTTCGCAGTAGCTTCTGACCTGATGATAGCCAACACTTTCATTAGAAAGAGAGAATCTCATCTAGTGACCTTCAGTACCGGACAACACTTTAGCCAGATTGACTTTGTCCTTGCAAGAAGAAAGGACAAACGAGCATGCTTGGGTTGCAAGGTGATACCAGGGGAGTGTGTTGTTTCTCAACATAAGCTTTTGGTGACAGCCTTTTGTTTTCAGGTGCGTGCCCGTAGGGATAAACAAACTAAGATTGAAAGAATAAAGTGGTGAAAACTGAAAGGGGAGACGTTAGAGGTATTCAGGGAAAGGGTTATCAAAGATGGCTCTTGGAAGGAAGAAGATGACATAAACAACATGTGGGAGAAGATGGCAACCAACATTCGGAAGGTGGTCTCAGAGGTGTGTGGAGTAACCAAAGGAAGTGGAGGCGAGGCTAAAGATACTTGGTGGTGGAACGAGTAAGTCCAAAGGACTATTAAGTTGAAGAAAGAATGCTATAGACGCTTGTACCATGACAGAAGTGTGGACAACATAGAGAAGTACAAGGTGGCAAAGAAGACTGCAAAGCGAGCTATAAGTATGGCAAAGGGTAGAGCGTACGAGGATCTTTACCAACATTTGAGTACGAAGGAAGGAGAGAAGAACATTTATAGGATGGCTAGGGTTCGTGAGAGAAAGACAAGAGACTTCAACCAAGTTAAGTGCAGTAAGGATGAAAGGGAGCATCTCTTGGTGAAGGAGGATGAGATCCGACATCGATGGCAAGCGTATTTTGACAAATTGTTCAATGGTGAAAATACGGACACAACCATTCAGTTGGATGACTCTTTTGATGACACCAATAGGCGTTTTGTGCGGAGAATCCAAGAATCTGAGGTCAGAGAGGCGTTGGAAAGGATGAAAGGATGTAAGGCGATGGGACCGGATGGTATCCCAATCGAGGTGTGGAGATGCCTCGGGGATATAGCTATAGTATGGCTAACCAAGATGTTCAACCATATTTTTTGATAGAACAAGATGCCTGCGAGTGAAGGAGAAGTATATTGGTACCGATCTACAAGAATAAAGGGGATATTCAAAGTTGTACTAATTACCGGAGAATTAAGTTGATGAGCCATACTATGAAGCTATGAGAGAGAGTTATCGAGCATCGCTTGAGAGCAATAACGCGGGTCTCAATGAACCAATTTGGTTTCATACCCAGAAGGTCAACCATGAAAGCCATTTTCTTAATAAGACAAGTTATGGAGCGGTATAGGGAGAAGAAGAAGGACCTACACATGATTTTTATTGACTTAGAGAAGGCTTATGATAAATACCAAGGAATGTTATGTGGTGGGCTTTGGACAAACATAAAGTCCCAACGAAGTACGTCGGGCTCATTAAGGACATGTACAATAATATTGTGACTAGTGTTCAAACAAGTGATGGAGACACGGATGACTTTCCGATTAAGATAGGACTACATCAAGGGTCAGCTTTGAGCCCTTATCTGTTTGTCTTAGTGATGGATGAGGTCACAAGGGACATACAAGGGGACATCCCTTGGTGTATGCTTTTCGCGGAGGATGTAGTGCTAGTTGATGAAAGCCGGACATAAGTGAATCAGAAACTGGAGTTATGGCGGGAGACTTTGGAGTCCAAAGGTTTTAGACTCAGTAGAACTAAAACTGAGTATATGGGATGTGACTTCGGCACTACTACTCGAGAAGAGAAAGATATTAGTTTGGAAGGTCAAGTAGAGCCTTGGAAGGATATCTTTCGATATTTAGGATCAATGCTACAGAGAGACGGGGACATTGATGAAGATGTTAGCCATAGAATCAAAGCAGGGTGAATGAAGTGGCGCCAAGCATCTGGTGTCCTATGTGACAAAAGGATACCACAAAATCTAAAAGGCTGTAAGTTTTATAGGACGGCGATTAGACCTGCTATGTTGTATGGTGCAGAATGTTGGCCTACGAAAAAATGACATGTTCAACAGATAAGTGTCGTGGAAATGCGTATGTTGCGTTGGATTTGTGGTCATACAAGAAGGGATCGAGTTCGGAACGATGATATACGTGATAGATTAGGGGTAGCACCAATTGAAGAAAAGCTTATCCAACACCGGTTAAGATGGATTGGACATGTCCAACGGAGACCTCCAGAGGCACGGGTGCGTAGTGGAATCCTAAGCCAGGATAGTAACATGAAGAAAGGCAGATGAAGACCGAAGTTGACTTGGGTAGAGGCAATAAAAAGAGACTTGAAAGGATGGAATATACCCGAAGACTTAGCCTTAGATAGGAGTGCTTGGAAAACAACTATTCACATGCCTGAACCTTGATTGCTTCTGCTGGGTTTCAACTCTAGCCTACCCCAACTTGTTTGGGACTTAAAGGCTTTGTTGTTGTTGTTATTGCTGCTGCTAGCATAAATAGCTTTTACCAATAGGGGAAAGCTTGATGATTCAATCTCTGTGTACCATATTAAGCCATGTCAATCGAAAGCTCACATGGCATTTCAATATGAGTGATTTCTTCAATAAAATTAAAGGTTTTAAGACTATATGGTGCACATATCAATAACTGCTTCCAGAGCTATAATTCATTTCCCATGTGTTAAACATAACACGACAAGCGGTTCAATCTGATCATCAAAAGAATCAAATCCGCTCTGATGATACATACAGCATTTACTGTCAACTCATCAAGTGGAACACGTGAACAAACTTGGAGCTAATAGAAGTAACACGCAGAAACGACAAGTCTCAGTTCTTTTGGTGCATCCGTTGCATGATATTATGCAGACCGTACAATATTCATCTCTACACAGACAAATTGACCACTACCATCTCCACCAAATGGGTAAAAACAAAGGCATTTTCATAATACTGATAACTAATGCTGTAGCTTGCGACAAGTGGGTAAACCTTACTCTGCCATCTCAACTACAGAATATAAGGTTTTGAACAATATCTACATGACTTTCAGTTTGGCCAATGCCATGTGAAATAATTGCCCATGCAACTACTTGCAGCCCAAGAAATCCTTTTCCCATAGATTCACAACACCAATCATCGAGATAAACAAATTCAGTCCCAAATCATAAGAGACAGAAATAGAAGTGTGCATGTCATTAAATATTACCCGATCAGGTGAAATGGAGAAAAG